TCTAATATTTCTACTCTTTTTCTAACTGGTCATTTGGTCACAAACCAAATATTTCAATTTTACATAACTAAAATATACCCGTTAAAATTTTTAACTTTTAACTTATATTTCACTATTCATAACTGATATTTACGAATTTTCTTTGTAAAAATATTTGTATTATAACTTTACAATTTTCGGAATATTTTACTCCGTACATAAAGTTTCTACATAACATTTCCTTGATCAAGCTGAAAATTCTACTACTTTCTGTTCTTGAAGAAATTATGGTCAAATACCGGACTGTACGAATTAGACTTCCAGTCGTTACATAAAGTCTCCTGGGAGGGGTTTAATATTCATAAAACAGTAAAATGTGAGTGAAAGGCCCAGTATGATATAATTTTGAAATAAACTTTATAAATAAATAAATAAATAAATAAGCGAGTGAATAAGTAAATGGATAAGTGAATAAAATTAGACATTCAGTTCCAACACAACCGCCGGAACCTCACATTCTTTTTCTCAAAGGAAATATATCTGAAAATATCCGTATTACAGACATCAGCAAGTAATTAGTACAAATTACTTACACAACCTTCAGGTTCTACCCCCAAGGATGCACTCTCCACATCCTATCTAGGCCATTAGCAAATTTTACCGGTTCATAAGATCTCTTTTCTTAAGAAATCATTCATTAAACTTTCTGAAATCGTTATTAAAATCTCACGAACTACACAAGCCGTGGGCCCATGAACTACAACAGGCCATGGGTTTCGTGAACTACAACAAGCCATGGTTTTCAAATAGTTTTTCTTTCGTAAACAAGCCCATTTTCTTTAAAATATTTGTGAGGCCAAAACTATTTTAAAAATCACGCTCACAAAGAAAAGGGATAAGAATCTTACCTCTCAAATATCAAACCTGTGATTAGCGTGGCTTTATTCCGGCTTCTCCTTCTTCAAAGCCTCTCAATCTGAGTTCTTAGCTAGCACTGATACAAAACAACACTTTAGGATCCAATTCTCATTCCTAAAGCAAATCAATCTCAATTGTTCCAAGATTTCCTATTAGTGTGCCCTAATCAATTTTAATGTTTCAAATCATCATTCTAAAGGTTTTCAATCTCAAAATATGAATTAAAGATGTTAATCCATCTATCTCAAGTCCCTAAATAAAGATAATTTGGGTTCTCCTCGAAAACAGAGGTTAAAACAGCATTTTCAGGTAAAACAGCATCAAACCCCGTGTACACCGGTTGACCGGTGACAGGGCAGTGCAACACCACTAGTCGACCGGTGGTGTGCACTCCGGTCGACCGCATAGGTCGACCTGTTCGGTTGACCTATTGCCATGCGATCCGGTCGACCGGATAGGTCGACCGGTGGAATCAACAAAGCGAGGGAACTCGCCAAAACCAGTCCGCAAACCTACATATCCAGTCCCAAATCGAGACATTCAAGGGAAAACCACTAGATTCGGGTTCTAGGTACTAAATCAAGTCTAAAGAACCCAAGATCTCTAATTTCTACCATGATTTTACTAAAAAATCCATGAAAATCCGTTTGAACCAAAAATAGGTTTTTAAATCCACAAATCCGAGATTCAATAGAGGGTTTTTTAGAAATCTTACCTCAAATCCTTCTCTTGATGTTGAAAACTTCTTTCAATCCTTCTTTGGTTAAAAATCCGGTCATTTTGAGACAAAAATGAGAGAGAGAGAGAGAGAGACAACCGAGAAAGAGAGAGAGAGAGAGAGAGAGAGAGAGAGAACGACAATGAAGAGAGAGAAAGAACGCACGGGAGAGGAAAGGAAAAAGGAAAAAGAAAAAGAAAAAGAAAGGACATGTGTCAGAAAATTAAAAGACAGTCCAGAAATGTGTCCACACACACTTCTAGGTAAAAATGTAAATACTAAGAATATTTAAATACCTTAAAATTATTTAAATTTACTCATCAGAAACATTTATTAATTAATAACCAATTAATTAATCCAGATTAGGCACACTAATAAATCTTAATTACCTTAATTAATCTCATTTAATTCTTCAGGGTGTTACAGAATGCTATAGCATTTACACATACATGGTAAAAAAAATCGATCTGATTTTTTTTAAGAAGTTATAACTAGAGAGTAGTAGAGGTCAAGAAATATTAAGTATGAACATAGGATGATGATCAAAAGTTAGGGTCGTCACAAAAACACTGCAATCTAAGTTCCAATTCAAAATATTTCAAGGGCAAATCACCCCAACCAGGTTCCAAATGACAAATACAGTCCAAAGAACCTAAAATCTCAAATTTCTACCTTGATTTTACTCAAAATCCATGAAAATCCGTTTTGAACCAAAATAGGTTTTCAAATCTGAAAAATCTGAGATTCAAGAGAAATTTTTTCAGAAATCTTACCTCAAATCCTTCTCTGGTTTAAGATCCGGTTGATTTGGGCCAAAAACTAAGAGGAGAGAGAGGGTGAGAGAACATGAGTGAAAGAGAGTGAAGATGAAGAGAGAGAGTATGCACAGGAAAGAAAGGAAAGGAAGAAAGAGAAAAAGGAAAGAAAAGAAAAGGAAAAAGAAAAGAAAAAGACATGTGTCTAATATTTTAAAATATAATCCAGAAAATGTGAATACACACACTTTTGGGGTAAAAATGTAAATACTGAGAACATTGAAATTCTTTGGAAATATTTAAATTTTACACGTCAGAAACATTTATTAACCAATAATTAATTAATTATTCCAGATTAGGCATACTAATAAATCTTGATTACCTTAATTAATCTCATTTAATTCCTCGAAGTGTTACAAAAACTCAACATCTTTATTACTCAAAATCATAAAATATAAACAAAATTCATTATCTACATAACAAATTCAAGACAAACAACAAAACCCAACACCCATATTACTCAAAACCAGAAAATCTAAACAAATTTCATCATCTACATAACAAATTCAAGACAAAAACTAAAAAATCCAGCACCCATGTTACTCAAAATTACAAAACTGTAACTAATTTCATCATTAACATAAATAAATTTTATCAAACAACAAACACCCAACATCTATAATACTCAAACCCATAAAATCTAAGCTATTTTCTTCATTTTTTTTTTTATCAAATTTATAAAAAAAAAATGAGAAAATTAATGAAATTTACTTGATGTTCTTCTCAGATTTGTGGCCCATCCCGAATTTATGGAGAAAATGACGGTGAACGAAAGGAGAACGGCGACGAACGGAAGGAAGAAAGGGCTATTTGGGGTGGCGGCGCTGTCTGAGTGGAGGGATTAGGGGAATAACTCAGTGGGCGAGAGTTTTGATTTTTGAGTGAATTTTTACGAAATGAAGTTTTTCTGGATTAAAAACTATATTCAACGACAGTTCAAAGAAAAACCGTCATTAAAAGTACATGTATTAGACGATGGTTTTCTGAAAAAATGTCGTCTATAGTCACCACATCAACCACCGTATTTTTAACGGCACGTTTGCTGACGGTTTTATATGAAACCTTTGTCAAATTAGCGACATGAAATCCACAGTTTCTTGTAGTGAGGTTAGCACACTTAATATGCTTATTATGTTAAAACTCAATTAATACGTTTATCTTACGCTAAAACGTATGAAACACAATTTAGAGAGCAGATGTAAATGGAAAAAAAAAGAAAAGAAAACATCTGAAAAACAGAAGTTGGAGGGGGTGCTTACTAGAAACTAATAAAAATGTTTTGGACATTTCTTTTTCAGTAAGGACGCGTGCCACCACTGGTCATAACTCGAGTCTTGACCCCGTGCCAAGAAACCATATAGCTTCATCTGATAAGATCTTTTGCAATGTTGAAAACTAAAATTGTTCCAACCCATGTATCAATAAACTAATAAATTATTCATTATTTTTTACTATGTTTATTGTTTATGATTTATAAGTCACACGTGAATCTTAGTAAAAAAAAAAAAAAAAAAAAAAAAAAAAAAAAAAAAAAAAAAAACTTTACTGCATCTACACTTATTAAAAGAATACAACTCTTTTGAAATTAACAAGTATTAATTTCTCAATATGTTCATATTTATTGATTTAAAAGCATGCAACTCTTTTTAAATTAACAAGTATTAATTTCTCAATATGTTCATATTTATTGATTCAACAACACTTAATAATATTCGCTACAGAAGAAGAAGAAACTCGTTTTAAATTAACAAGTATTCATTTCTCAATATGTTCATATTTATAGGAGAAGAAGAAACCCTTTTTAAATTAACAAGTATTCATTTCTCAATATGTTCATATTTATTGATTCAGCAGCACTTAATAATGTTCGCTACAGAAGAAGAAGAAGAAGAAGAATGTTTCCTAGCCCTAATAGTATTAAGTTAGAGAATGTTTCCAGCCCTAATAGTATTAAGTTAGAGATGATTTAATAGTATTAAGTTAGAGAATGTTTCCTAGCCCTAATAGTATTAAGTTAGATAATGTTTCCTAGCCCTAATAGTATTAAGTTAGAGAGGTTTTAATAGTATTAAGTTAGAGAATGTTTCCTAGCCCAAATAGTATTAAGTTAGATAATTTTTCCTAGCCCTAATAGTATTAAGTTAGAGAGGTTTTAATAGTATTAAGTTACAGAATGTTTCCTAGCCCTAATAGTATTAAGTTAGATAATGTTTCCTAGCCCTAATAGTATTAAGTTAGAGAGGTTTTAATAGTATTAAGTTAGAGAGTGTTTCCTAGCCCTAATATTATTAAGTTAGAGAGGTTTTACTTTGGTTTGTACAATAAACAAAACTATTGTTACCAAACTTGAAGCTCTATTTTGGATATGTAAATTCATGAAAAACATGGATCGGCAAAACAAGAAGAAAAACACGAAATTAATCTTCAACTTCATATGCCCACAAAAAAAAAAAAGAAAAAAAAATCTTTATATTATTTTCACACAATGCATTTAACATTCACCAACCAATTTCCATAAAAAAGAAACATAAATTTATCAAAAGGATGAAGAAAGAGGAAACTGGCCAGAAAATAAGAAAACCTAATCATGTATGTATTTAGCTATCTGCAAAATGAAACAAAACACACATGTACAGTTAGCCCCTTATGCTAATACCAAAAAAAAACCAGAAAAAAAAAAAGCTTATATACTCCATTCGGAGTCTAGTTTCCATCAACACCTCAGACAGTTACTTCCTCATGATCCCCCTTCGAAATATGCCTTGAAGAGCACATCATCTTTGCAGCAGTCACGCACAACATTGTACACTTCAAAAAAAAGCATTGGGAATCGACTTGTAAAATAGTCACCGAATCCTTCATCTTGCGTTCCGAAATGTTTCTGTAAAGAGCCACAATAAAAGTAAGTGAATATTAACATTGAAAACCTCAATGAATGTATTGAAAATGTATCACATTCTTATATACTGGTATTACAAGCACCTGAATTTCTTCTGGATCATGTACATAATGAGCATATTTGTTTCGAATGAATAGCAACAAGTGCTTGACACTGCCAAATTTGTAACCGCATAAGAAGTTTGGGTGGTCTTTCTTGATTTTATCGTTAAGGATCTTTTTGTCCCATCTGACCTTTCCCCACCCGTTTTTACCTACAATTTTATTTGCAGTAGGTTCAAGCCTACGCAAGAGAGCAGTCTTCTTGTCGTCCGAAAGAGTAGATTCCTCCTTTAGACAGTCACCAGTGTGGCAGAGAAACTCAAGTCTCTTCTTCGCGTCCCAGAACAGTGGATGATGCAACACCTTATTTGCTTGTGGCCTGCCATGAATAACGAATGAAATTTTATCAAGATTTGAGGGCCCAAGTTAGGTGCACTGAAATAAGTTTCTTCTTCTCAGGTAAAACTTTTAAACTTTTTACATAGTTCTCCAGTTAATGCACTAATTATACAAAATTAAGGCTTGTCACAACATGATATAATTTTGAAAAATGTTAGGATCACTTGTTTCATCACACGCTTTCTCATTCTCTAGCTTACCTCTCCTTTCGCCACATATCATTCGACTTCAACATAAAAGTAGAGCACAATTTTAAGACATTGTTAACTCTTAATTTCAAGTATACCACTCGTTCTCATTCTCTAGCTTAACTCTTAATTATCTCTCCTTTGTTTACTTTCGTTCTTTCTTTCTTTTTTCCTCTTTAAATATTTTGTTTTTTTTTTTTTGGCTGGAAATCCTCTTTTAAAACTGTTAGCAGTTAGGACCCGTATCTAAAAAAAAAAAAATAGTGAAGGTTAAAACTATTTAAAGCTTTTAATAAAAGTAGAATAACAAATGTCAAGTATTAATTATATATGTAGAATCCATGCAGAAGGAAACTATATAATCTTACCTCTCCCCAGCCTCAAATTTTATCAAAGAAGAAATAAGATCAACAGCTTCAGGGAAATCTTTTATCAAAAACCAGTCTGGCTTATAAGCTTTATTCTTAATATTCTGATCACGATCATCATCGTTCCCAAATGGATGTTCACCACCAGTGATGGAAAAAAAGAGGATGCAACCTAAACTGAACAAATCCATTGCAGCTGTTTGTTGGCCATGAAGAAGCTGTTCCGGTGCTTTCCAGCCAGTAGCGGCACAAACTATAGTTGATTCCAAAAAACATGAATGAAAGCAACACTGAAGGGAGTGAGGAAGCAAAATTGTTTATGGGTGTAAACTGTGAACAAATGTTTAAAGTGAGACTAAAACGTTTAAGGCTGAAATGGTATCAAAGTACATTCTAATTAGAGTAATAAAGTACGCATTGCTTACTTATACAAATAAGTAGGATGTTTTTAATAGGGAAATGAGTACTTGCCGGAAGATTTATGGTCAGTCAACGATAGCTTGTTACCACGAAGTTGTCTGCTAATACCCATTTCAGCAAGCTTTGCACATAAAGTTGGGCTGTCCTGAATTATTAAAATGTTCTGCGGCTTTAAGTCTCGGTGAACTATACGCGACTTGTGAAGAGCAACGAGCCCAGAAACCATGTCACTACGATCATAAATTGAAAATGGCTCACTATTAAATGTAATTCAACGAGAAATTAAGGACATCAAAGATGACTCATTCAAAGTCCAATTGAGTACATAACCATAATTGTCCTAAACTATACATAACACGAAATTAAAAGAACTTTTGACTAACCTCATCAATTTCTGTAATAAAGGAGACGGACGGCATGTATTTTCGTTCCAAAGCTTAATATCTCTAAGCTTAGTATTCTTCAGTTTCTCAAAGTCTTTTGATAAAGGCTCATGTTGAGAGGAATTCTTAGGATACATTTGAATGAGGTTATCTAAATTGCAATCACAACGCTCCAGAGCAAGATAGATAAAATTATAGTCCTCTTCCGTCCCATAATACGTCACAATATTTTGGCTACGATCAGATGTTATGAGATTCTTCATTTCTCTTTCAGCTTCCAGGTTACGATCAAAATGACTTTTAAGAAGGCGTTTCACTGCAACTTCTCTAACTTCATAATACCCCTCAAATACAATAGTCCCGTTGGCACTTCGACCAATTTCCTTTGATAATAAAACCTTTATTTTTCCAACTTTTTTCTCTTGCTGATTTTCATTGGATGAAACTTCTGAGCTAGAAGCAGTACTTTTTCCTTTATGCTGATTGAGAAGAGTTTCTCACATATAAATATAGAAGTAGAAAATTGATATCATCCAATAGAATGAAGAAATAGATCAATTAAAATGTAGTCATACGAAAATCTTCAGGGTGAGCACGTAGAGTCTTTAGTCGTTACATTTTTTTCTTCGAGATATAGATCCAACAAAGTATGGAGCTTTTTAGTACTCTATTATTAGTGTTTTTTTTTTTTTTTTTTTTTTTTTTTTTTTTTTTTTTTTTAATTTAAGATCAGATCAAAATCACAATAAAATAAAAAGTACGTAATCTAGCCTCTAATACAGGTTTTGTGGTTAACATAGCCCTACCATTACATTTTTTTCTTTAATACACTACCGTGGAATTCTTGTTAAAACCCAGACAATATCAAATGTACGTAATCTAGACATTTTTAATCTAAAAGTTTGTATTCTTTTTCTCTTATGATCTCAAAAACGAAGAAGAAGCAAAAGAAGAAAAAAGGCAGCCATAACCTAAGGGAAACGACCTTCAACAAGTAAGATGAAGAAAACTATGCAAACGACCTTCAACAACCAAACGAAATCAGTCAAACTACTTGTGAGTGATTTGGTTTATTTGATTTTTTTAAAATATCAAATCACCCAAAACTACCCAAAAGAAAAAAAAAATATTTTTAGTCTAGTCAGTGTCATATAAAAAACCCGTCCAGAACACCCCGACCAATAGCTTCATCGATGGCTTCACTTCTTTCAACCAAATATTTCGTTTTGAATCAATAACTCAATAAAAGAGTTGCTTCGTGAGTGGAATTAGTGTTAAACTACAAAGCTTATAATTTTCCGTCGAGGATTGCAGTTTTAGTTTCTTTTGTTGTTAATCACTTTAATAGTTGAGGTAAGAAACCCTTTTCTATTTTCTTGCTTTGAAAATTACTTGAGAAAAGGTGTACGATGCTACTTACTTTTTAGTTGGGTATGGGTTTGTGATTTGAACAGGTTTGAAATTGTCTTGAAATGCCTTAAACGGATAGAATAAATAGTTTGGAATTTTTTATGTGTATAATTATAAGGTAAGGTTTCAAATACTATGTCCACTTGGTTTTTTTCTTTCGGTTAAGAAAAAGGTGTTAACTTGCAAATTTTTAATTAGTTTACGAAGTTTCATACTTTTCAAAGTCCTCTCAAAAGTATGATTGAGATGGGATTATGTGAGGTTTCAAGTGTTCAAGGGATGGTTTATGCAAAGTTGGCTTTAACAATTGGTTCGTAATTCTTTTCTATATGGTTGTAATGAATCAGTGTGAAAATTTAGGACTCAACAGCATATCAAGTTTCCCAATAGGGGAGTTACACTCTTCAGTATCTAAAACCATAATAACTATGTTATATGTATCATGCAACGTGATAAGATTATCATAATAACTTAATAATTTCATATGTAGCTCAGATGATGATCTTTCGGATGTCTCAATTGGAAAAGCTAAACTGATAATTATGTTAACAATAAGTGTTTAGACCATAAATTCACGTTGATAAATGTAGTCTAGAGAAATGACGAACAACAGTCAGTGTCATGATAGATTAAGGCTAGGAAAAAGGGTGATTGATTTAAGCGTATGGAGAATGCAATAAAAGACGAAATGAAATATCGGGATTATTTATACAAAAAAATTGAATTGAAAATTTTGTTCGAACTAGTAATTACCATTAAATGAGATTAAGTATGATTAGAGTTCTATCGGAGAATAATCGGTCCTTAAGTACATTAGATGTAGTGACCAAGAAAAATCTCATAATTTTAATAATGTAATTCATGTATTCAAGTCAAGGATTTTCCTGGAAAATCATTATACTCTGTACATTTTGTGATTGAAGGATTTATGGAATTAACATCTGCATTCCTAAATTCTGTAGCAGATTTCACGTTAAGTTCACGTTTTTCTGATCAGGCAAATTCGATCAATAAATTCTCACCATGCTTTAAAACGGATGAATTTTCAGTATAGATACAGTTTGAGAATCTTAATTTTAAGCATCTCCCAGCACAGTACAAACTAGCATCCAGTACCCGTATACAGGAGAAAATAGCTGTCAGTATAATTTTGGACAGTTTTAATAAGTAACTTAAGGGAATAGACAAAAGTACAAGGGGTAGGTTAGTGTGTGTGATTTGATGTGATGTGATGAGAGAGGTGAATATGACTCATGATTAGTTTTTTTTTTCTCTCCTTTTTCTCTTCACTTGGCCGGCCATCTTCAAGGGTTTATAGCCAAAAATTTTGGTTAATGTTGAGTGTGCTAGAGGATTGATGCGATAGTAATGATTGAAAGTAAATCATGACATTTCTTCCTTCACTTTGTCTCTTCACTTGGCCAGCCATCTTCAAGGGTTTATAGCCAAAAATTTTGGTTAAATGTTGAGTGTGCTAGAGGATCGATGCGATAGTAATGATTGAAAGGAAATCATGACATTTCTTCCTTCACTTTGTCTCTTCACTTGGCCGGCCATCTTCAAGGGGTTTAAGCAAAATTTTTGTTAGTTAAGTAGACTAAAGGAGATAATAACCTAGTGGTCTATAAATAGAACCAATGTGATCTAAGCCTAACTTTTGCTTTATCTCACTTCCTTCTCCATATCCAAAACCGGTTCTCCAAAGCTCCAACTCTCAAGTTTTTTAAACTTTTCCCTCACCAAAACCAAGCCATCCCTTACCTCTCACACACTCAAAAGTTCCCATAAATCTCACCACAAATCCTAGTTTAAGTTGAAGGAGAAAAGGAGGAGTCTAGACAAGCATTTCTCCAATGGTAAAAACTCTAAAATTCTCTTTTTTTTTTTTTTTATGTTTTAGTAAAGTTGGAAATGTAGAAATATTCTTTTCAAATTTCCTTATCCTCTTCTAGTTTCAAGCCGTTAATAAATCTTAGAGGAGATCAAAGGCTTTCAAGAGAGAGAACTCTTTAAGGGTAAGATTCTTAAACTCTTCCCCATTATTTTTCTAGCCAACCTTAAGCATGAATTCATGATGTAATTTGTGGTTCATGAGGAGATAAGTGTAATAAGGGTGTGTGAGTTTTATGTTGGTTTTGCGAGTTTTGAGGTTAGTTTGATGTGGTATGTTTATGCTTGATCTAAGTTGCTTATTTTCGGATTAGAGGAAAAATTTTCTGGTGACTTTGACCGCGAAAATGAGGAGCCTAGAGCGAGAATTTTCAATGTTTCAAAGCTTGAACTTATAGCCCTGGATGTTTTGAACATTTTTGGTTACTATGACAAAACCTAATTTTAACTCTAAAACCAAGTTTGAAGTCATTTTACAAAAACGGATAAGCTGTCCAACACAGTTTCGAAAAAAAAAAAACTAGCAGCCACTGGCTCAGCCAAACGGGACTCATAGAGGCTCAATCTCGATTTTTTACAAAAGTGACAATTTTAGATTTCGACGAGAGGAAGAAATTTCATAAAGAAAGTATTTTCAAAATCTGACCCTAAGAGGTACTAAAACACAGATTCCCAAAACGACACAGTTTTTGACTAAAACAGTTTCAAGAAAAATAGCAGCCACGGTTTTCAGCCAAACGAGGCATTTCAAGGCCGAATTTCAACTTTTACCAAAAACAAATATTTTAGATCTTGACGAGACGAGCAATTTTTGCGAAGAAAAAAATTTGAAAATCTGAATCTAAGATACAGTAAAATGCAGATTTCAGAAACTGCACAGTTTTTAACAAGACAAAACTGAAATAGTGTCTGTTTCAACAAAAAGTTATAAAAGAACCCGAGATAGAATTCCAGTAAAATACAATGACATTAAATCTTATTTTAATAAAAGTATTCATAAAGGAAGTTTACAAGGAAAAATGATTTCTTTAAAGAACATAGTGGTTTACCGAGCGAATTATCCTGACGGGCACCTACGAGCCCAATATGATAGGTCCGTAAAATTTTGAATATTTAATGTGGGTCCAACCCCCCACATTAATTTAAGAGACTCCGTTGGAGTATAAATTTCAGCGGCTTAAAAGTTAGAATACCATGTATAAGTCCTAGGCCGAATTGGGTCTTAATATCATACCAAGGGAAATTTAAGAAAATTAGATTTTGAGGATTTAATAAATTAATCTTTATTATCCTTTAGTAAAGGAAAAGAATATATGCTTTATGGAAATGGTTAGATTTTCCTTCATAAGTTGCACTACAAGAAAATAGGCTTTTTGTAGTGGTTAGTTATAGCGTTTTTCAAAAAACGTTACTGCGCCTATATGTAATAGCATTTAGAAAGAGTTATAATATATTTATATATATATATATATATTAAAATTTCATGAGATTTTGACAAGTCTGTTTTATATATATTTAATAATATATAAATGTACCACATTAAAATAACAACAGGTGGGCATTTGAAATAATTCCCCCAATTTTCCCGCTCATCCTCCCTCTTTTTTTTTTTTTTTTGGGTCATCTGATTTTGCTTCTTCCCCCACTCTGTCGAACAAACCATGCTCCACCACTTCTCTTTCCCCAAAATTCCATAAGTTTCCTCTGGATTTGCTTTGAAATTGAAGGCCGGTGTTAGGTTCAGTCATATTTCCAACTTTTCCCCAAATGCCCTAATTTTCCAGTCCATCTCACGGGAAGAAATACTCACGGGAAAAATCTCATGGTTTCTGGTTTTGTGAAGATTGGGTTGTGGAAAGAAGATCGAAGATGATCTCCACGTGAAGCTCTCTTCCTACACGAAGCTCGGAGCTAGGTTTGTCGGCCAAGGAGGTTCGACTCTCTCTCTCTCTCTCTCTGCTCTCTAGGTTTAGCCAGAGAGAAATCCTCTCTCTCTCTCTGCATTTTTCGCTCCCAAAGGTGTAGTGCTCTTGTTCTTCTTCTTTTCTTTTTTGGTTTTCAAATTCAACTAAAATCTAACTAAACCGAGAGAGAAATCCTCTCTCTCTGCATTTTCGCTCCCAAAGGTGTAGTGTTCTTGTTCTTGTTCTTTTCTTTTTTGGTTTTCAAATTCAACTAAAATCTAACGAAATGAAAATTTGCATTCCTTTTTGGCTTATTCATTGTAGTTTGTTGAAGCTGTTATCAGTATACGAGCTGGCTCGAAGGTATCACTTGATCATATACAATTTTATTATGTGAATTTTTTTTTCCGATTTGTGCTTTAAATATTTCTTTCTTGTTTTTTTTTTTGGGTGATAGTATCCCAACGAGTCACCTCAAATTAATCTTATAGAGTCAAAGGGTATTGGTGAACAAAGGCAAAAGCTTTTAGTGACTTACATCTGAGACAAAGCGAGTGAACTATCTTTTTGTTTAATGCTCGTGGCTCTTTGTGAGGTAAACTCATTTCTGTCATTGGAATTTGACTTGGAAAATCATTTCAGTGGGGTATTATTTGAGAAATTGATGGGTTGAAACGATGTAATATAACTAAAGATTTTGGAGTTATTAGATGATAGATAAATTAATGTAATCCCACATTGATTTTGGACAAAAAATGTGTCCCTGAAATCATTAATGGAGTCTTGTTTTATATATATATATATATATCTCTCTCGTTATAGATCTCTCTTTCTCGTTAAACCGTTGGTTGAAGATCTCGTTAAAGCCCTTTCCTCAACCGTTGATTTATTGCAATTGCCGCTGATTCTTACCGTCACCGGCTCCAATTATTGTTGTCACCGACTCCGATTCTCACTGTCGTCGTCGCCACCGCTGATTCTCGTCGTCGCCGCCGCCGATTCTCGTCGCTGTCACCACCGATTGGTTATTGATTCTAAAGTTTCGAAGTTCGGTGAGCACATCCATTTAGCCCTTTCTTAGCTTCTGTCAAACATTTCTTTGAAGAGATTTCCTTACTTCACTATGACTTGAGGCTGTATGATGCAGATTCAAAGAGTTTTTTAGCTAAGCTTCTAGATTGTGTCAATTCGTTGCCGACAAACCCGATGATATTTAAAGTTTCTTCATCGTCGGTACTCTTTCTCTCTGTATGCTTATCATCTTTGTTGTGAGCTTCATTTGGAATTTGAGGACTTGATAGAAGGTGAAAAATGATTTCTCATTGTTTCTGATGATGGTAGTTAATTTTGTTTTGGATAAAATTAGCAATTCATGTATGTTTTGTGTGGATTTGGCTGGCATGATCTTCTAGGTGTTTGTTAAAATGTGTAAGAGAGTTTAGTGTTGTAATTAAGTCAAAATGTCTAAGAGAGTTTAATTTTGTTTTGGATAAAATTAGCAATTCATGTATGTTTGTGTGGATTTGGCTGGTTAAATGTTTCTTCTATAATCCAATGCCTTCTTACGCAATGGTATTTAGCTATGTTGGTTAAAGTTAGTTTAGTTTTGCATTTAAGTTTGTTTGAAAGTATTTATGTTTCTCTATATGAATCTAAAGGATATTTGCAAGGCACTTCCAAGTTTTACTTCTCCTGAGCACGAGTATCCAATTTGCACTTGTGTCCAATCTTTACTTCATCTCCCAGGTACAGGACTTTGGTGCTTTTCTTACATGTTGGAGACGATCTTTTCTTCTTTAGCATTCTGACTGTTTTATTGTGTACATTCAGCTGCTATACAGGAAATTCAGTGGAAACTTTCTAGTGAATCTCTTGGGTAAATGGAAAGAATCTGAGTATTCAGGTGGTCAGTATATTCCCGTGGGTGGTCTAGCATATTATATTACTGCACCATCGAGGTTGTTAATGTTCCCTATTGGAGAGATGTTTGTTTTGTGTCTGATGGATAATATCTTGAATTGTTGTTTGTTGGGGACAATTTGATTGGTAAACAATTCCATTGCGTTTTTTTTGCAGCTTAGCTGATATGGCAGCCAATCCTTTCCATGCACTGTTCTATCTTGTGTTCATGTTGTCTGCATGTGCACTCTTCTAAAAAACATGGATTGAAGTTTCTGGATCTTCTGCTAGGGATGTTGCCAAGCAGCTTAAGGTATGGACTCCATCTGAACTTAATTTTCATACATTCTGGTAATAGTTTTATATCCCATCTTTTATGCAAAGTTTGTTAATATTGAATTATTTTGAGCTTGACTGGTTATTTTACTTGGGATTGTTTTGTTGTGGTTACATATCTTGCAAGTTGACATCTTATGGTTTTAGCCTTTTATAGAACATATAAAAAATTTTATTAACACATTTTTTTTTTTTTTTTTTTTTTTTGGGTTTCAAGGTAATCATTGGTCATAACCAATATGATTTGGAAACTGAAATCTGTTCTCATAGGAAGCTATGGATGGGTTTTGTTTTTGACTTTTTTGCCATATTTGGTATCCACGGTTAGAGTTTACCATGCTTGGAATCAACACGTAAAGAAACAATCTTATATGCACCCTAAACTTATGCTTTAGTCAATACTCAAGCAGTGTCATGCTTTCTTCAACTAGAAACACAAAGCTACTACTAAATTGCTATCTATGCTATTAGATAAAATGGATGATGGAGCCGGTCTCTCGTTTACTCAGTAGACTCCTATTTATCTGTCATCTCTTATTTATAATAGCAATCTAATTTAGCCATTCTTAATTTTTACCCTTCTCAGTGATACTATTAATAATATTAATTCTTCCTCTTATCTGCATTCACTGAAATATCTATATTATTGGAAATAGTTGTTGGCTAAGGAAGGTGAGACTGTGGAACCAGGCGTCAAGATTGCTGTCATCTCAAAATCAGGTGAAGGTGCACCACAAGTTGCTCCATTGGAACAGCCTGCTAGCCAGCCATCACCTCCCAAAAAGCAGGAAAGTGTAGAAAAGCAAACCCCTAAAGCAGAAACTGCCCCTGTCAAGGAGGCAAAGAAAGAACCATCTCCACCACCCAAGGCTAAGGGGCTTCCATCACCACCTAAACCCACAGAACCCCAGCTTCCTCCTAAGGACAGGGAAAGACGAGTGAGTTTCATTATTAGTTTGAAAACAAGGTTACTTTAGTTTGGTTTAAAGTTGCTTGACTTGCTTCGACAATTTCTTTTTTTCTTGTGTCTAGGTTCCGATGACAAGACTTAGGAAACGAGTTGCAACACGCTTGAAAGATTCTCAGAATACATTTGCTATGTTGACAACATTTAACGAAGTTGATATGTAAGTTCAATAATTTGGCAATCTTCTAAAGTTGTGGACAAATGGTGTGGCTTTTGTTGTAAACATATTATTGGCAACTTTGTAGATATTTATAACAATTATTACATTGAATGTTTTCATGTTTTAATTTGAATGTTTTTATGTTTTAATTTGAATATTCCTATTTAGATATAAGATGTTGTTCGGAATTACCATTTATTTGAATGAATTTAAAAGGATATCAATAATAATTTTAGAAAGTTACAACAGTTTGAACATAATAAGGAAAAAAAGTTATTAATCTGTATCATAGCTATGCTAAAGAGCTGTAAGAGGATGAAAATAACTTTTCTTACACGCTATAATACTTCAATTCTATAGCGCTTTTTATAACTCTCCTGAAATGCTATGTTTTCTTAGGACCTATAATAGCGCCCGCTGTCCTAGCACTCTAAAAAGCACTATTGATAGTGATTAAAAGCGTTTTTCGTCAGCTACGAAAAGCCTATTGTGGTGTAGTGTTGCTAAAATAGAATAACAAATAACAGTTAATCTCACACCCTTAATGGGTGTTCATTTTCAGAAGAAAGCAAGAGACTAGGCTGATAGGCGAAAAGGGGATTCCAGCTTTGAAAATCAAGTAAGTAGGAATCTCGCCTACAGTATAAATAGATTTTAAGTAAACAGTACACAAGAACTATATATGTTTGAGTACATTTAATGTTATGAATGCTATGCTATGTTATACTACATACACTTAAGCAGTACACCCGAATTATATGTGTTCGAGTACATGATATAGTATGCTATGCTAGGTCATATTGCATACACCTTAATAAGTTAAGAGGAACTTATAAGAGTAATCTCAGTTCAGTGTTGTATCAGCCTCCACAAGGGAGGTAACTCAAGCTCCGCAAGGGAGAAAAGAAAAAAAAAAATAATAATGTCCTCCGACTCAAAGGAGGCATTCAAGTTATAATCACGGTGTCATGGGGGACCTTGCAAACCCTCACGTCCCGATGATTGCGCGCAAGTGGTACGACCACTCGGGCCCAAAAGATAAGAGAAGATAAGACAATAAGATTCTGATAAGACATCATAATTAAGCATAATTGGCTCATGCATATTTATTCATGTGAACTTATAGTTATTTTGCGAGAGGTAGTTCCTACTTGCTGAGTGAAAGCTCATTATAGAATGTTTATACTGTAGGTAAGCAACCGGCATATAATGTCTGATGGACTGCCGGCGAGTGGACGAACGATGTGGGGCTCGGAATATGGATACCGCTCGCAAATATTTCCGCAATCAGCTTTATGTTATAAATAGTTTTGTTAATTATGATTCTGAAACAAATATGTTAAGATTTGAATATTTTAATTAAGAAGGTAATTTTGTATCTTATATTTATTATAAGACCCTTTTAAAAAAAAAAATATTCCGTAAATTTTAAGAAATTTCAGTAAGTACAAGTTAAAAAGTTAGTTACAGTGGCGGCCTCAAAGCAGGATCGCTACATTAGAGATGTCATCGTTAAAGTTTAAAATATATTAGATCTAAAGGTCATTACAATGTCATCTTTGATTTTTTAAATATTGAAACCGACCACCCAACCCAACCCGCACCGCCCCAACCCAACCCAACATCATTGGATTGTGAAATTTTTCTAACATCGTTAGGGCTAAATATGTGTAACCTGCACCCTTTAGAGCAAGGGAAGAAAAAGCCCTACCCCGCACCAACCCGACCCATGAACAACCTTACTTCTCTTAAATTGTTCCTTTTAGTCCTTTTGCTAATTATGGGGTGCCTTTATAAACTCAAGGAGTGTCAATATAATTTCCCTATATGAAAAGGCAGTAAAATTTAACAGTCAAAATGTGAAGCCTGTGTTCGTTTTTTAGGGAAATTGTAATGAGCCTACATATAAAACTTATGTTATAAATATGTGTAACCTGCACCCTTTAGAGCGAAGGAAGAAAAAGCCTTACCCCGCACCAACCCGACCCATGAACAACCTTACTTCTCTTAAATTGTTCCTTTTAGTCCTTTTGCTAATTATGGGGTGCCTTTATAAACTCAAGGAGTGTCAATATAATTTCCCTATATGAAAAGACAGTAAAATTTAACAGTCAAAATGTGAAGCCTGTGTTCGTTTTTGAGGGAAATTGTAATGAGCCTACATATAAAACTTATGTTATTAATAGGTCTTTTATGTTTTGAGTTTTTCATTTTCTAATATTATCATTTCTCTTCATTTTCATAAATCATGGTTTCATAGTGTAACTCTCATATTTACCAATAGAATATAATTTCTATTCCTTCATAAATAATGGATTCACATGGTAAATTCAAACCTTTACTAATATAAGATAAACATATTTCATTTCTACTCGTAAATTTAGTATTTACCAAAAAATAAATCCAAGATTTCTAATAACAACATAGATTGTTTATTCGTAAATCTTAGATTTACGACCATAATTTAGATAAACATAATTCATGTTCCTTCATAAATCTTAGATTTACACGGTAAAGTCAGAATTTTAATAATATTAGATAAACATATTTTATTTCTATTTGTAAATCTAGGATTTACTACCATAACACAATTTATGTTCCTTTGTAAATCTTGAATTTACACGTAAATTGAGGATTTACTATCAAAACACATATTGTATTGATTAATAAATCTTGGATTTATTGTGTAGACAACGAGACGATAGAGGGAGGGTGGAGAGAGAGTTAGAGTAAATCTTAAAATTTCATTTTCTATTTTAATTAGGGACATTTTTTAAATATTAATTTAGTGTAGATCCGAATTTACACCCATTTACTAACTAATTACAAATCTTCACCTATATATTTTTATTGCTCTTTTAATCGAACTATTTTCCTTAATCTCCCCATATAACAATAGGAATTTATATTATTGAAACCCGTGTTAATAAAATAATAATAATAATAATAATAATAATAATAATAATAGTAATAATAATGTTAATAATAATAATAATTACAGTACTATATAGTTATGAAAAATGGTGAATGACTATTGTAGTTCAAAATTGTAAGAAATTGAACTGCCATGAAAGTGTGGCTAAAGAGGACGTTATGTCCCTAAAAGGAGAATGATTGTGGCAATAATTAATCCATTTGAGGCAAAAGGGACAAGATGAGGTAAATTGTGCACTCCTACATCGTCTGAAGAAAGATATAGGTGATCGTTTATAAGGAAGAACCCCACTTTCTATTAGTACGAGGCTTTTAGGGGCGAAGTCAAAAGGAAAATGAATGCAGAACCTAAGCCGAAAGCGAACAATATCATAATAAGTGAATGTATGGGTCATTACAGAAGGCATATGATATATCAAACTCTTTGTTTACAAGTCTAGTTTTTATTGCTGCTGGTTTTGACTACCTTGAATTTAAGATGAATTATTTATGAATTTTTAAAATGAGCAAAGCTCATTTGGCCCACTTTTAAAAATTGGTTTCTAAATTTGGGAAGTTATGGTTTTCCTCCTATTTGATGCTATATAAACTGAATGGATAATAGATAATGAGATAAGACGTTTCAGACATTGTTTTGATATAGTTAGTAATTTTGTGTTGAATATCGATGTTTGGTGAGTACTCTCTAAAGTGGCGAGCACACCGAGAACCTGACGTGTCGTCTTACCTACTGTAGAAGGTTGAGTAAATCTAGAGATCAAGTAAGTACATCTCTCACCTGCCACTTATTTGTATAAACGATATGATGTTATTATTAATATTAATATGGATAATAAGTTATGTTCAAAGTTATTTATGATGAGACCTTTTAGTGTGAAGTCCAATAGTAAAATCAA